TACAATAACATTACACTATAAATATTACAGTTTTAGTTGACACGTTGAATCTAGGTCACCAGCAGCAAGCCGTGGATTGTAATTTAATTCGACTGAGCCTTAATTTACACACAATGAACGACAATGAACATGAGAGCTGTGTGTCAGCCGGTTTGGTATTTTCATGAGCAGCATGTGTGTGACAAAGGATTTCCAAGGGTGACCTATCACTTTAAGAGTGTCAGAGCTCCTCCATGGACTCCTCATCTTTTTTCTCTCACAACATCTTTCTTCTGCCATGCATGGCTTGTTGCCGAGGTAACAGGCCCAAGAATGGTTTAGCATTTCCAGCATTGCCTAGTGAATCGACTCGTGCTGACATGGAACTGACAACGGCACAGTCGACGACAGGCTCAGGTATTTTCTTCCCAAAATGTCACTGGAGTCAACAGCCACCTGCTGTGCTGTGGTTCGCTCTCATGTAGGAATCATATGAAAAGCTGCGCGGTCTGATATCACGTTCAGCTGCTGTGTGTGTGATCACAAACGAAAGCAAAACCGAGCTGCGTGCAATGCTCTGACAGGGTAAAGCGTAAAATTCGATCCAGGTGATGGAGACATGTTTGCAAGCTGCTCCAGTCACTTTCTCAGGTGTGAGTTCCTGGATGTCTCCAGCAGAGTGTGTGTGTGCGTGTGTGTGCGTGTGTGTGTGTGTGTGTGTGGGTTTATATTTATACATGTGACTCATATCTCCTCATATAGCTTTTGCAATTTATTCGAATGCATTTTACTTTTGGTTGGCAGAGAGCTAATATCAAAGACTTAAAATTCTGAGGGGAGATGCATCTATAAGCATCTCATAGCTGCTCTGACCGGTGGGAGGGGGCCCTCTTGTTAAAATGTTAAGCAGCAGAAGCACTTTTTTGTCACCTGCGTGTGTGTGTTTTCTTATTGACCAGATCATCATTGAGCTATTTCCCCGCTGACTGAAACCACATGAGTCAATTCCTTTGCTTGTCTCAAACTGCATTTGCATTGCTCCCTTGGCATTTGTGCTGTTTTCATGTAATCAGCGTACTGGAAGCAAGTAGCTTCTAACACAAAGGGTTAATAGGCAAGTCTGTGGTGCCAGCGAAAGAACAGATTGGAGTTACTCACCCCTCCATTAATCATGCTAATGATGAAATACTTTGCATATCTAGTCTTTCTCCCATCACAGTATTACCAGCACAAAACTGGCTTTTAACATCATTATGTAACACCCTGACTGAGGCGAATTTCAATGTTCACACGCAAGTGCCAACAAAACCCCGTGCAACAGGTTAAATAATTGTTTTATTTAAACCTTCGCTGCTACTTTTTAACCTGCGATTATTACCTTCCTCCACGTGGGCTCGATCAATATGCATTGTCACACCGAGTCCAATTGGGACACGCTCAGGACCGGCAGTGGGCTGGGTGATGCAACATCTTGCAATAAACATTGTGCTGTAAGAGTATGTAACCCAGCGGCTAGCAGCGCAAGCAAAACCCAAGTTCAGAGGAAAAAAAAGGAACATACGCACAGGCATGCACGCAGATTTGATTAGAATAAAAGACAAGAATTTGTTTATTTTGTCCTCGACGCCCTCGATTGTCCTCGCTTCCCGTTTCCTTCCCTCTCACTTAAGTTGGACTTGACTAAGGGCCCAGGGGTCACCGTTACTGAGATGACCCACTTCATCGATCACATGGCAAGAATTAATTAAAGGGGAGATCAATGGGACATCCTTCTAGTTTGAAGTATAGCAGAGGGAGTCTGCTTGATAATGGTCAGACCCCTGAGGACTCAGTGTGTGTGTGTGTGTGTGTGTGCTGCTTCTTAAATGAGAGTATGTGCTGGGTTATCACTCACCAGCTCTTGTTAATGGCCCTTTTTTTCCAACCTGTCTAAGCATGTGTAACTAATACCTAGTTCACACAAATTGTTTACGCTGCAAAAACACAAACTCGGAGCTTCTGTGCCTCTTAAAATGCTTCTTATTAGGAATTTACAGACAATCTGAGTGCAAAGGATTCATAGCTGGATTAACCTTTTAGTTCATCACTTACACAGATAATACAGTAAAGCCTTTAATTACCTTCTCAGTTGTGACATTTCCCCTCTTTTCTTTACTTGGTTGCTTCTTCCGTTGGTCACATTAAATTATCATATTTTCAGGTAGTTTTTTGTGTGATTTCTTTTTCTTCACAGGCTTCTTGCATTTAGAGGTAGTTATGCAAAAGAAAAAGAGTGTAGTGAGAAAATGCCTGCTGCTTTCGCTGCAGCATGTGTGGTACTGAAAGAACAGCTCCCAAAGGCTGATGGTTGTAAAGGATGTTGCAAAAGTGCGAGATTTAGTGGTGGTTTTTATCTTCATGTGCTTGGTTAGTGAGCGTCTCACTTCAAGTGTGCTTGAGAAAAATTGAATGATTGATGAAAATTCTGGCAATTTTTTTAGGTCACAAAACACAGTCACACTCACTGACACACTCTTGTGTTGGCTTCATTTTTCCAATCCACAACTTGCCTCTTAAGCCAACATTGGTTGCCCCTCCTAAACAAAAAGTTTAAACAGCAGGTGGGTGGGGCATCTCACAGCCAGGGCTCACTAAGGATAACTGCTCTGAGTGACATAAAAGAGAGCTAGGAGTAGGGAAAAAATCTGAAAGTGGGTGTTTAAAGCAGCCTGAAGTCTGAGATTTTGGCTCTCAAGGATGACACTGGCCAGGTTAAAATGAGCACCCACTGTATCAAGATACAATGATTGAGCTCCATAATAGGTAAAGATATAGGCAGATATAGCTTTGATACCATATGCTATCACTCTCTATAATACAATACATCTGCCTGGCAGAATGTCATCTGTCTGACAATAAGAATTTATGTAATCATTTTTATTTATTTATTTATTACAACATCATTTCAACTGCTGTGATAAAATAATTACCCAGATAAAACATAAATAAAATAGGTCTTATCTTTCTACATATGTCTTAAAATAAGGGATTTTTTTTCTTTTCCCAGTCCTTTTTATGTGCTTTGCTCCATTTCTCATCTTGTTTCCTCAACACCTGATGTGGGCCGATACCACCCAGCTGCTATATTACATCAAGCAGGTGTCCACCTGAGATGAGCTGCTCCATAATACCTGAGGCAGACGGTGTCTATCTTCAAAAGGTTGTAAGTACCATATCTGTAAAGGCAGGAGTCTACAGCTGATTGGGCCAAAGCTGCAAACCGTACAAAGGTGCCCCCAAGACTATCCAACACATAGTAGCAGGCTGTAAGTTTTGAGCTGGAACTGCGTGCACTGAGAGACACAACCAAGTAGTGATGGGTATCGTTTAGGTTTTATCCGATACCGGTGCCAAACTGGTTCTTTTGAAACGGTGCCGGTGCTTAAAGAATGGAGAACACAGGCTTTGTCCAAAAACCTCTCATGTTCAGCTGTTTTAGATAACAATGTTAGCCTTTTCTGCAGCTATGGGGCATATATGGTATCACTCTTGGCTGGAAGCAGTGCTTAAACAATGGAAAAAACACAAACTTTGTCCTAAACCTCTCATGTTTAACTGTTTTCCACTTTTTCTTTGGTCATTTTAGCCTTTTTGGCCAGGGTGAAGAGAGTATCTGCCATCAAACAAGAGGACAGCCCCATGTAGCTATGATGATGTTTGCTAGTTCACCTTACATGCATTAATGTAATATCGTGGTTAGCCTACTCAACGTAAATTACACACGAACAACATTAAGCTACTCACGCAGAGAAGAACGGCTGCTGCTGCATCATCATCCGTCATCATTTCTGCTACACTGGCAGGGCTAGGGGCCAGGACTCTCCTCTTCGAGTTTTTGGGGGATGTTGCTAACTCCGGGTCCAATAACAGGCACCGCACCCGCAGTAGACGTGCACGGTGTGAGATCTCGCAGCAAGCTATCAAATACGGCGCATTTCTCGGCTTTTAAAAAAAACGCTATGCGTCGCCAGGTGTTTCATCGGATTTGAGGTGTTACCTCCTTTGCACAGTATCACAGTATCAGCTTAAAGCACTTGTTGCTGCTGAGTTTGTATATTTTGCTGTGAAGTACAACCAGACTTTTGACCGCTTTGCCTTGGGCATTTTTAATCTGTAGCTCTGCTCTAACAGAACGTACGTACCTGGATCCGCCTACTATCCTTGGAAACGTAAAATGATTGGCTAGAATCTAAAGTGTATCACAACTCAGGGAAAAAAAAGCACCGAAATAAAGCACCGAAATGTGCGCTGCTTTTTGGTCTGGTTACTACCGTTTATGTCAGAACTACCGGTACCCATCCCTACAACCAAGTGACTGAGACAGTACACAGATACATCTGTGCCATATGTGGACTAGAAGTCCTCAAGTCCCGATGGGAGACACCATCAAAGGTGGCTGAGAACAACAGTGCAAAGGTCCCGTGGGACTTCAAGTTCCAGACAGACAAGCAGCTGCTGGCCATCCAACCAGACATAGTGGTAGCTGAAAAGGAGCAATTGTGCTAGATTCGACATTGCCTGTGGATGGTAACATCAGGAAGATGGAGCATGATAAAACAGAGAAGTACCAGAGTACCAGGGGCTGAAAGAACAACTGGAGCACATGTGGAAAGTCCAGATTGGTTCCAGGAGCACACACACACACACACACACACACACACACACACACACACACACACACACACACAATAACACGTTCACCAAAAAAATGTACCTCAAATAAAATGATCAACTAGATAAAGATTCTTTAAAAGAAAAAATGCATTTTCAATAACAAGAATTCCACGAAGCTGCACTCGTAATCACCGCCGTGTATTTGACTGTGAGTGGAGACAACATCCTCACATTCCAAGGTCTAGGCTGCAGGAAGGAGGCTCAGTGCATACAAAACCGCCTTTAGGACCCAGCGTGTCTCCTTCGCAGCCTTTGTAGTTTTCTGTAGAGATGAGGGAGACTGAGATGTGCTTCTTGCTTATCACGATTCACATCGAGGCTCTAACAGCTGAGGAGGATGCTGAACAAGGCGATTTGAAGCCCGGATCAGCTCTGACTGCTGCTGGTTTACATTTCACTTCATTTCATTAATTAATTAATTAATTTATTTGTTTATTAGAGACCTTTCCTCTCACTGACATTATTTTCTATTTAGCCATTATAATTTTTGGTATTAAATCCTGAGACACTGAAAGTATTTCGGGCGCATTCCTGCTGCTGGCTGGGACTATGATTTATCGGCGCTTGCAGCTTGGCTCTCATGACAGACTCGCTCTCACTGGGTCTCTTTCAGACGGAAGAGAGCGGTGAATTGTCTTTAACTTTCTTGAGCATCTTCGACGAATTCAGCTGCAGCGGGTACTTTTTGCACTTGAGGTGAGTTCCCTTGCATTCGCCCTCACGCACAAAACAAACGCTTATTTTCATACTGTCATTCAGGCTCAGAGAAGAACGCGTGGGAGAGAAGATGCATCCCTCTAACCTTCTTCCACGTTTCATCTAATCACATTTTAATGATTATTTCCGCATTTTATTTTTAAATCGATTGTATTATCAAAATGGCTCAAATCGGTGCTTCATATTTTTGGTAACAGTAATGTTCAGTGAGTGAAGGAGTGAGACGCGTCAGTGAATACTAATTACTGTCAGTTGCCCATCCACCCTCCCTGTGTTTATTATTTATTTATTTTTAATTGATTTACGGCGCTCTGAAGGGAATCCCCGGAAATCAGTGTCATAAAATCTGACTGTATGGAACACATACAGGCTGTAAATCCACTGGCATGTCAAGCCTGTTAATGCGAGGCTCCATTCATTGCAGCGGCTGTCCTGTGTGTAGGTGTGGAAGCAGCCATGTGGAGCAGAGAGAGCGCTCCTTTACTCCTCGTCTGCCTGCTGGCTCTCACAGCCCTCTGGAAAACCAGGTGAGTGTTTTGAATGAGAGACCCCTTGAAGTGAAGACATGCCAAGAATCACACACTTTGTCTCAGGGGGCCAG